GACCCCGGTCATATTTTGAGGCATGAGTTGATTAAGCAGCTGCCTAATCAGCACAATGTCATGCTCAAAACGAGCTTTAGGTTCAGAGCTATCGCTCTCCTTGATTCTATGAAAAATAGCTGATCTGTCGCTATAATCAGCTTTCGATTTTTCAACCAATCTTACGGGGGCAGGTTTCTCTTTTATATCCCTACTTTTCTTCCTTACAACCTTTACCCATTCGTCAACGGTGCTGGTAGAAGCAATAACAGTTGCGTCAAACCTAGTGTTGGGTTTTGGGGGGTTGTCGACGACCTGAGAGGTCGTGTTATGTTTACCGTTTGAAACCGATCGAGCCTTGCGATTGTGGCTTCTAGGTGTTTCCTGTTGGATCCCATCTGGAAGACGGGGAACAGAAGACCCTACTTTTCTTGAGCTTTTTTTAAGGCAGGCCCCTTTGGAGACTGCTTTTCCTTCTTTGACGGGCGTGAGTCATCTATCACCGGACTAACCTTAGTTTCCTTCACGTTGATTTGCGTGTCGACAGATCGACTGCTGTTTGACGCGTTCCGACTATGCTTGCTAAAACACTTCTTTGCAGCATCAACCAGTGAGATGGCCTCGGTTAGCAAGCTGTTTGCATCCGAGCAGCACTGTTGACAAAGCCACACACAACCCTTCTTACTGAACCGTTTGAAAGCAGCAGGCGTTAAGTTCGTGCAAACTTCGTGGTACCAGCCTTTGCACTCGTCGCACTGCATGCCGCATTCAACAGGATAACGACAACCCGGACGTTGACAACTGCTTTTTTTACACTGTCCGGTCATTTAGGAGGGGTTCTTTTTTAAACTGTGATGATACGCAGAAACAAAAAAAATTATCAATGACCAAAAGTGAAGAGCTGTAGATTGCTAGGACCAAAAGTACTAACAGATACAGTTGAAAAAGAGGTACTCAAGAGTACCAACGACAAAACAGTAAAAACGATACTTTAGTCGAATACTTTAACTGAAATAAATTCAATTAAAGTGAAAACAGTAGTCTTGATACGTAATAAACGATCAAAACAAACAAATTTACTCAGCGAGGAAAAATACCGCTGTCCTTTTTTAAATAGCGCGCCCAAGGTTGAACATCTTTGTTTGTCGACTTCCCTTAGGGTAATAAATTATATGTTAAGGGCTTTTACAGCACGTTTTTGTTAAAACAATCTGACAATGCTCTACCTCTGCAGTAATGGTGCGGTTCACTTGCTTGAGTTTAGATTGATACAAGCAGTCTCACTTAAATTGACTCGACTTCACTCAGATAGTGAACGCCAGCTAAGTCAAACGACTACGTATTACGATAAAAACTATAAATCAAGCGCAAACATTAGTAGAACTGATTTGTGGCGGGAGATGTGCTGTTCATATGTGAGAAATAAAGACCCCCAAAATACTTGATAGCATGCAACATGTGAGCTTAAACCCATGGGTTAACTTATTTTACATGCCGAACGAATGCAAGTACTGAGCTGTCCATTTTAAGAAGTAACTTGTTGAATGCACAGTTACCCAGCAAGAGACGTCAGTTTTAACGTGTTGTTTGATACTTCCAGACCTCCAGAAAACGAACTTGATGGGCATCTAGCAAACATAAATACAAATCTTTCTGAAATATTTGAGGTATTGAATAAGATGTAAGACGAATTCATTTGTTTTTAGGCATTTTTTGGTGTTGCGCACAACAGTGCTAAAAATAAGGAAAAAAATAAAAAATAAGTTATATTAACTTCGATTTATTACTTAACAGGTTTCTAAAATATGGTATGGAAAACACAGTATCTGGAAACACTAAGGACCTTTTTGTCACGGTAGATGTTGATGGACTTTTTGTCATTATAACTCCTGTAGACACGAGTGGACTCTTTTCCAACTCAGTTTTCCATTGTGAACGTTTATTACGTTATTATGAACAAGTTATTAACCGTTATCGTTTTTGAAATTGTTGAAGTGAGAAGAGGGTTTCCGTAATTTTACCAAAGGGGCAGTTCAATTTCTGGGCCTGAAAATATGTAACCAACAAAAATCTTTTAAGCACCCCTATAAGTGAGAAGCTAAAAATAAAGATTGATTAGTACTCCTGATTATCACTGACATATAATTGCTGGATATAGAGGCCGCTGAGAAAACATCAGGTGAAACGATTCGAGAGTGAGCCGTAAGTATTAGTAATGTTTGTTGACCTATGAAAAACTAAAATAAGTTTGCCTTTAATATGAATAAACCTGGAGTAGTTGCATTATGCCATATGTGGCACTCGTTCATAATTTGTGTGTTTCAAAAAATAACCACGGGACAGGGATAATGTACGAAGTAGTTAGAAGAGTAAGCTTCGATTCACTCAATTTACAGTGCCGGATACACTTTCCAAGAGTTTATTTACAGAGGATGGATAACTGCTGAGTGAAAGAACGTGGTATTTGCACATGGTAAGAAAAGGAACAATAAGGTCAGACTTTTAGTTTTAGAACTATTTCCTTATCCTTTATTGGAATACCAGATAACAACCATTTAGAACACTTATTTTCATAGCACAATATCGATTGATAGTTTCAGTGCTCTGACGTGAGACTTTATGAACAGTTAGTGTGCATCACTAAATAATTCCTCGAAATAAATAGTTATGTGGGTTTCTGCCAATGGTGCTGACTAGACCCACGCTAGCGGAATGTGCTCAGTAACTCATTTACACTATTACACCATTGTGTACTCATAGATACGCATCCCTCAAGACAATAAGCCATTTTAGATTACATACTTATCCACACAGTGACTATCACCCAAATATGTTTCAGATCTCTTTCATTCCTGACTTCTGATTTAAGTGTGTTTGAGATTTTTGGATCGCATAGACGCTAGGGACAAAAGTTTCGTCAAGCCCTGAATATGTGTGACATTTTTAGGTGCATCACCATTGTAGTGGCATTGGACCATAACCACACAATCTTCAAAGCTGAACACAAGACTACTCAGAAAATAGATATTCAATATCTAACGCGGAAAAATACCTAACGATGGAGAAGGCGCGAATAATGAATTAAGTGGACTGGAGTTGATCGAGTGGCATGGCTCGGCCATGCAGGCGTGGTCTCTGCTGAATGTTACCTTCTATCTTCTATTCATATTAAATATATTGTTCTTTCTCTAGCCTAACCTTGTTCTACATCATGTATGGGTAATTGATACGATACAGTGAGTTGGTGTAGTCGATGGTATGACTTCCACGTAAGATCTTATGGATTAGGCAGTGATATCATGATACATCTACAAATTTAGGATTAGGTCTATTATTAGAGCAGTGCTAATATAATAGCAGACCATAGTTCTACACCATCTACACGGCAGAAAACATCCTACGGTTTACTTCAAATACCGTACTACAACAATGTTTAATGAAATCTTCCAAATGGTATGACATGCTATTGTGGAGTTGCATTTCAAGAATATATATGGCTTGATCCCCTCACCAAAATAATCAGCATCATATTTGTGATGTAGTTAGAACTTGCCTCCCAAAAAACCTCGCCAAGCTGTGCCCTAATTTAAGAAGGATATCACTTTCCTGGGACACTTTCAAAGAGTGGTCAAAACGTTACTCGGATTCACAAATTAACACTATCTAGTTCAGCTGAAAACAATGAGCACCAAACTTCCGCAACTAGAATCAGTATGACAATGATTCGTCTTAATAGTCATCAACTAATTGTTTTTAATAGGTCGTTATTGCGTTTCACGATTTGCCTTATTACCTTGTACACTTTTGACTGAGGACGGTCGTACTGTAGACATCTTCGACTGAAAAAGATTTCCCATGAGGTCACTAGACTTGATTGTACATCTGCGCACGTTACATATGCCACCACTGTTTGTCTCTGATATACTGTGTTTCAAATGTGAATGGTTTTTAGCTTAAACCCAATCATTTGTGATGAATATGGAATCATTAACTTATCAGTCCAATGAGAGATGGAATAAAACTCATACTCGTGGTCGGCCACGTTTCCCTTGAAGGGAAAATGTTAAATCTAGATTTTATTGTCAAGAGATTTAGCTCAGATGTTTCACTTCCAGGCTGCGTATGAAAGTATACTCAGCACTTTGTATGTTTGGAAAATCATTATAGTTAGTCAATGAAGTTAGTTGAAACAGGTTACATATTTGAAGTGGAGGGGAAAAGAGTTAATAGTCTTTAGCTAGTTCGGCTTACTAACGTATGCCAAGAACTTACTAGGCTACTCATTTTAGGAGGTCAGAACACCCTTTGCGGGCAGCTAAATCCTAGAATTTGCTACTAGCTGAGGTGATCTAACTGAATTCCGAGGAGTCCTACGAGAGCAAACATGGTGTAGTCGTAAATAAATCCCCAAAATAAATAGCTCTGTAAGTCTTCAACATGGAATGCTGACCACATTATTTTTGATGGACTCACCTAGCTGAAGGCACTCGGCCACACATCCGCACCAGATGACGAGTGGGAACGCCGTGCTCAACAAACCCTGTAATCGCTAGCCAGATTAGATCAGACGATCCTCTATATATTGATAGCCTATCAAACATATCTTCGAACCTTCTCGCTTCTGCCTTTCGATTTCACTTGGTGGGTACGATTCATATTAGAAGGTGTTACTGGTTAAAGCGTTGTCAAACTCCGAATACCTGTGGCATCTTCAATGGCATAGTCTTAAGGACTCACTAAGACCTACTGATATTTCTCTTTTGACCATTGAGTAAACCTGAATTCATACAGAGAGGCAGAGGTAATCTACTGCTACTTGGTATTGAAGTTCATTAAGCGAAAGCATCTACCATCTGTCCAGATCAATTTGAACCTACCGCTTCCCTTACTATCCCTTAAGCTCATTTTCACTTGATGAGAGACTGTTTCCTTCATATTTTACTGAAAGGCGAGTAACAGGAACATACTGCCCAACACTTGAGATATATTTAAACAACTTTTCGATTTTAAGAACTACTATTGAAAATAAAACTGCTGTTATGTCAACAAACACTTTGCACATTTTGAAATGACTGAAGCCGAACGTTCTAAAGTATTTATAGCAAACGTTGACAGATATGATGAATGCAACATTGCAAAATTTTTGTCTCAACTTGTTATTGGAAGGGCCTCAAAAGCAGAGGATGAAGAAGCTGTTGAAGAAGGCAATGTGACTTCCAAGCAAGTAGGAAATCCCCAAACGTATTCAATTTACGGTACAGTGGATGATTCTTGCAAAGATCCCCCTGGTTTCGTGAATATCATCACAATGGTATATCTTATTTTGTTTACTTTTTTAACGTTTGGCATTTTGTCATCAAGATTACAGATATAATCCGTAACATCTTATAATGTGTTATAATTATAACATTACAATACATCTTACTGAATTGTCAGCCAGCAGAAGTGCGGTATGCAGGGTTCCCCGTAGGTTATCTCCAACCACATAATACGATTTTAAAAGGCTAACTTTATTGAAAGTTTCCTCCTTGAAATGTTGCTACGAGCCGAGTGTGTCAAGCTCTTTAGATAAGGAGCAGAATGATTCACTTTTATGCTATAAATGATGCACTCAATATTCTGCATCGTTCTAAGGGTTGTCAATGGAGTGTAAATTTGAGTCACTTAAACTTCTCTAGCGATACGAAAATACAATATGAGTCCCTTATTTTCTTTGTCTAGTTCTAGAATCTCTTTCAACTATCTTGAGCTTAGTCCCGTAACATCTGACTTTTTTGTGTCACCAAGGAAACGATGCATAATGTTGCACAGGTTAACTAAGTAAAAGTGCCCCGATCAATAAGACACTTGCGCACACTGATAAATTCCACAATTTAGTTCCATAATTCGTAAACGATTTCCCATTCATATAATTGATTATACAGGTCAGTATTATTTTTTAATCCTTTTAGACTCCAATACTTGGTTTCAAATTAGTAGTTACTCGAAAACTCCAATTAGTTGATAGAAATAATTTTAGGTAATCTAATTTTCACCACCTGATTTATTCATTAAATCAGTGTCCACGTTGAAAATTGGTCAATCGTTAACCCAACAATGTTGTTGAGAATTCCAAAACAAATTATGTACTAACTACATTTGATTGCTTGGCCTAATGGTGCTTGACTATGGATTTACGCAGTCCATTCTTAAAGTAAGTGTTTGGGATCTGAGGGATAAACTGTACCCCAAACCTTATGTTGTTTGGTGGACGTAATTAAAAGACCGTTTATTGTCAAGCAAATAAATTCGTGTCTTAGGTTACATATTTATGAAACTGAGTGGTAGTTTGTTTTGTCTGAGCAAAGAGACTTCGGTATGTTCATGTGATTTCTAGATACGCTTTTCATTAACACAATCGTAAACTCAGTTGTTTGGCGCGGCCAAATGGAACCATCAGGTTGTAAAATAGGAATACCATCAAGTATTAGTTCGCCTTTTTTAAAGACAGATGAGTGGCAAATATTTGCTCAGTACTTTACACATCTGTGTCTAAGTTGAGCTTATTATTCTCAGATTTGCTGATATTGAGCTCCAATTAAGCGCTGGGTGATTATCAAACCTCATATTTTAGATATATTACAAAATTAATTGTCGTAATGATCCGAAAAAGACCCAAAAATACAAAGAATTTGTACAATTCTACTCCAACTACTTTTTTGTTTTATCCAATGGACGAAGGAAATTGATTCCTTGACGTTTTCAGTAAACCACTGATATTCTCTGCATGCTATCTCACGATTTTAAACACGTTTTAAACTTATGAGTTTATCACTTTATTTAATACACACTCTTGGCAAAAAACCCAAAATATATATTCTTACATTTTAATGCCTCATTTACAGTTAAAAGCATTCCCAAAGCACTTAAATAATATATAATTCTTTTTATATCGTTTTAATTTGTGTGTACAGGATGACAAACGGCAAGACTATGTTGAAAAAATCATTGAATGTGATTATATCATTTACAATATCAAAGATGATCACACTGTTGTTGATGATGCTTTGTGGATACTAGATCAAATTCATAGTAATTTAGAATCTTTTACAACACAAAAGATATTCATTCTTATTTCTTCTGTATTAACATGGTCCAAAAGTGCACTTCCAGATCCAGTATGTAATCGATTCATATAAACAATATTACAGGATGATCCGGAAATGCCTTTTACTGATGATGATTATTTAAGAAGGAAATCACATCCAAACTTTAAAGAGCATATATTAGCTGAGAAATCAGTTGTACAACAAGGAAAAACAGTAACTTAAACAGTAATACAATAATATAATTGCTTTTGTTCTTCAGAATAAACTAAAACTACTTACCTATGTTATCGCATGTGGTCTAACGTATGGAGAGAAAGAAAATGTATTTCATCATTTCTTCAAGGTAGTTTATTCCCATTAACTCAAGTTTTAAGTTAAAAGGACTATGTTAAACATTTTTAATATTTATCAGTCCACTGCTAGTGATAAAATAATAACTAATTTATAATCATCAGTATAGGGTTCTGGGGATTGTGGATTTTATTGACTTCACAAGCTGATATTAGTTGTACAACAATTAAAAAACTGAAACCACTAGACGGTTGTTTCTTCCTACTATGGGACTCCTTGTCAGAGTGCATTCACGACCCGTTCACCAGAAATTGAACCCAGGACCTTCAACTTTAGCCCAAACGCTTAAGCCATGGATGAAACGGTGCACAGTGATGCACGAATCAACTTTTAATCTCTTCTAAATAAGATAGGACAAGTTTAAACTTGTCTGTTAGTTAAAGAAACGACTATAGAACCTCAGAAATACAATATTCTACCAATCACCTACTTACGCCTGTTACCCTTCGTAAAGGATCAGAGACCACCCAACAAGATTCTCCATCAAACTGTTCTGAGTAGTCCTTCCCAGCTGCAATTCATTCTTTTGATGTCTGCTTCCGATTCCCGATGTAAACTATTCTTTGGTCATCCTCTCTTCCTTTTCCCTTCAGAATATCAAGTTAGCGCTCACCTCATGATGTAGTTTGATGATTTCCGCAATGTATGTCCTATCCACCTCCAACGTCTCTCTCTAATTTTCTCTTCAGATGAAAACTGGTCTGTTCTCTTCTACAGTAGGTGGTTGCTGGTGGTATCCGATCAACGGATATTAAGTATCTTGAGTAGACAATTGTTTATAAATACCTGTACGTTTTCGGTAATGGTTTTAGTAGTTCTCCGAGTTTCAGCTTTATACAGTAGGACTGTCTTGACGTTTGTATTGAAGATTCTGACTTTGGCATTGATTGAAAATTGTCTTGAGTTGCATATGCTCTTCAGTCGTAGGAATGTTGCGCTTTCTCTGCGGATCCTCGCCTTTACGTCTGCATCGGATTCTCCTTGTTCTTCGATGATACTAGCCACGTACGTAAAAGTCTCCACTTCTTTTAGAGTATCTCCATCATATGTGATTGCGTTACTGTTCTGTTTGTTGTATTGTAGAATTCAGCGTTTCCTCTTGTGTATGTTGAGGCCTACTTCTACTACATTGGATTTCTTTACATGCATTTGGTGGTGTGTGTAGGAAAGAAGAGTAAGGTCATCTGCAAAGTTCAAGTCGTCTAGTTGCATCCAACCTGTCAATTGTATTCCGTCCCCCAGACGTGGAGGCTTATATAATCTAGTCGACCACCAGAAAAAAGTGAAAAATTGAGAGTAAGCAGCCTTGTCCAACACTGATCCTCACTTGAAATGCACCTGTCAGCTGTCCTCCATCTACAACCTTGCAATTCTACCTATTAGGATGTTACAAATATATTATGATTTTGTTGTTATAAGCGATCTACTCAGTATATTGTTTATTTGAAACAATTGCTCAGTTTCATGTATCTTATCAACACATTTCTAGGCGGCATGGAATAACGAAGAATTTATTCAATTACCAGGAGATGGGAATAATATTGTACCTACAATACACTTACGTGACCTAACCAGGTAACCATACCATTAAATTTATGTCATGGTATTGTATTGAGAATAAACATAATGCATTCGCTGTCGGCCTATTTATATTAGTAGCCAGATTGCGACTGGTCAGTAGAATTCGTTCAGTTCTAAGGATTAAACAAAAATCACATCTGTTACCACTCGCTGACCAATTAACTCACGTATTCACTGTAATTAATGGAGGTTGATGGTAATCTTCCATTGCCTAAATATGCAAATAACCATCATATATCATTCTGAAAGTTTTCTAATATATTATACAGCCTTTATTCGTGATGACACTACACCGAGTAATATGAATATTATTATCTCAGAGATATCTAATATCTTCATACACTGTTGCTTACAAATCATCAAATTTTGACTGAAATCTCTATTTTCCAATATATTTATATATATACGTAGCATATTGCAGTTCGTTATGGAAATGAGACCAGCAAAACACTATATTCTGGCTAAAGATGATTCTCAAAATACACTTCGTGAGATAGTCAAAGTAAGCATAGTTTCTTTTTAGTGTTTACTATTGATAGTAATAAATTAACTTCTAGTCAATCTGTGAATGCTAACTATTTTGGCTTGTATTTTTTATTTAGTTACAACTGTTAGATAGTTTATTTTGTGGGATAGAATCTTAAAGATTGCATGCTTAGATTGAACTCAAATCAGAATATTATAACTGGCTCATTTTCAATTGATCAACACTAATAAATGGATTGAGAATATAATATACATTTCTCTCTTCGATTCCATATGAACTGTTATGTTTTCACTACATGACCCATTGTTAAGCCGATTATTTGAAATGTATATTGTTTTCCGCTCAATCTTGTTCTTAGTTGTATCTAGTTGAGTGAAAATTCGTGACAATGGGATACTAAAGAATATCTTCTGGTAGAACAAGACGTAGTTACATTAAAATCCATTCACGCAAACAAAAGTACAAAAGTTCTATAATACCTTACCTAGCAAATATACTCTGTGACGAACAGGTTGTTAAAGTTAACCTAGTCAATAACTTGCATTCTTAACATGTCCTTAATTTTAAAAGTTGTACAGTTTTTTTTGTTTTTTTTCGTATTCGCTACTGTGTTTTCTTTTGTTGTTGTTGCGTAAGTAACTTGTTGAAATAACCTGTTCTGAGAATTTCTATATTGTACCAAAATATAATATTGAATAAAGCCATTAATAATAATAATGATAATAATAATAATAATAATAACTGTTCTATATATATATACCTGACCGAACAAAAAGTGCATGAACTTATTGTTGGTCACTAGCCACCATGGGACTGCATCTCCTAGCGTCGATCCACTGCCTTGTGGATCAGATGTTCGGGTCGAAGGCTCGGGGTGTGGCTCTCTGAGAAAACTATCTCCTTCGGTTTAGGCACCCGGGCAGTATCACAGTCCTCATAAAAATCAATGATAACTGCTACTGGCCTCATTGTTATTATGTGGTGCATATGCATTTGGTGCCCACTTGTGCCAATGTTTATGTGTCTAAATAATATACATATATATGCACATTGTAATTTGATTCCCTTTGTTATGTATAATAAAAAGCATGTAAGGCCACCATTATTTGAATGTTTTCATTTCTGTGGTGGTCATCAGTTTGCAACTTTATGTATATATATACATAATCCATTACAAATTAAGTTTCTCTCTAGTAAATTCTTAACAGTTATGTAAATGTTGTCAACTAAAAAACTCATTGTAAAAGTAATTACTAGTCGAAACGGCTGACTCAATTTGAACGAGATATATTGATACGTTTAACGTAAACAATTAAATGAATGCCAACACATTAACATTGTGCCTTTATTATTGTGCATACTTTTTTTCATTCCAGGCTATTTCTACAAGTATGACAACTGGTCATATTAAATCTATCTCTAAAGAAGAAGCTTTGTTTTGTCGAGATATAACAGTATGTTCTTGTCACTTATTTTAAAAAAATAACTTATTCTATCAATTATTCTGATTCATTATCACTTACATGGTTGATGAACATTCTTCTCAAATTAAGTAGCTGAATTGTTTATTTCGAATAATGATTGAATTAATTCCGGAATGTTAAACCTTCATAACTAAATAAAAAAACACCTAATGTTCGATAGGTAAAGTCACATTTCAATTCTTACTTTAATTTTTATAAAATAAGTTTGCTTATCTAAACACATTTTATCTTTCCTGGAATAAAATGAGCAAATTTAAGAAACAGTTAAATTATGATGGGATATTTAGTTTGATTCAACATATAACATTGAATAAAAGGTTAAAAAGTGAAGTTTGTGAGGCCAGACTATAATTTATGGACGAACCAATCATGTATAAGATAACAGGTCTCGGACTTTGACGCGAAATTCGCTCATTCATTCGGATAAATCGAGTTTCGGCATTATAGTTGATGTCAGTTCGTAATGAAAACCGTAAATCTAATTTCTAACCTTAATGATCAACTGTAAATCATAATTATTATTCCTCACATAGGTTTATGACCCTCGTTTGGTCCTGGTTATTAGGTGGACAATCTCAGGGTCAGTCTGGCGTCACTCAAAGGTCGTCCATAAATTATATTTTCACAGTTTATGATACTTCAATATTAAGTTGATCATGATGTCATTTAGTAATAAGTATATTTTACTGGTACATTAATACAACTTGTTCTGTACGAGAAAACGAGTCTTTGGAATCTATTATACATGTTCACATGTCATTTTGATTAGGTATCTTTTTCAACTTTCCTTTTAGTTATTAGTAATTATTCATCTTTCTGTTTGATGATCATATCTAGTTCATTAGTATTTCCCCTGTTCTTTTCTCTTCGTAATGTTACTGCTGAAAAAGGAATAATTTTAAAGATATACTTCCACTACTATTCCTACTAGTAGTGATAACTTGATTTTGAAATCTGAGATTATTAGAAGACTATCCTGTGAAGTATCCTTTAGACTTATTGTTTTACTGGCTGTCTAGAATGACCTAATGGTAATGAAAAGAATTTGAAGGAAAAGTAATGAGATTAAACTATCTTGATCTCATAGAATATAGATGAGTACTTAATATTTCTAAAATCCCATTCAATTAGTTCACATCTGCTTAAATATTTTAAACTCTCTACGAGACAAATTTATTATTTGAAAGGTTATTATTAAGTGCTGTGATGAATGTTAGATTGGAAGTCACAACTCATAGATTGATTTTGATTGAACAATCATTGAAAATCAAAGAGTAAAGAACAGCTGCTTTTTCCTAGTATAAAACTGCCCAATCAAAGTCACACCGCGGATCAAATCCACGGTCGAGTGTTTAATTTTCCGACGACCGATCTGGCATCCAATAATTCCAGTCAGTTTACGATATTTCGCGACCACCATTCATTATCATTATCAATATTTGTTTCACGCTCGAAGTAGTTAATTTCCGCTAACCACAGCTTTTCAGTGCTTCCTGGTTTTATCTAATTACTTGACCAAAATCAGTTTATAATGTGAATATTTGTATTTTAATATAATTCATATAAAGTGTTATGTCCCGATAAGCATAATGAATGGTAACTTTTAGGATCCACTTATGGACCAATGCTATTCGTATATTTTTATCGTATAATTGTTAAATAACTAAACTATACATATTCATGTCCCTCTTATTACGAGCTTTATTTTGACCTATGAGCAATCATTCTACGATTTACCATTCTTGAATTATGCCCTGTCTATTAGTTACTATCTCCCACATTCACAGCCACTTTTGGCTATTTTAGGGTACGATGTGGTCTGTATGGTTGGTATATAAACCCTGTATGTTTAAAATAAACAATTCATTTCGCAGAGGCTGAGGTTGGTGTTCTGGACTTAACAGGTTGGGCTAGGCAGGAAACAAGATCGGTAAGTACTATAGACTGCTCGTACGGGTTTTATGCGTCACTGGTTCTATCGATAATTCACTACTCTCTTATTGGCGGTATCGTTACGTTATACAATAACAGGGGACATAGGTCACAAGTTATAACACAAAGGCTTTATATATTACATCTTAATACGTCTACATACTACCTAACAAAAACTATCAGTTACAGGTTGACATCTTGTGATAATGAAACATCACTAATCAAAAGTACTATTGTATTGTAAATGAAGCACTTGATAGTCGATTTCAACTTATAATTAGATAACAACTATATATTTTATTTGTTTAAATTCTAACAGTTAAAGTGATACCTTTTAAATGTACATTATCTTTTTACTGAATGCTGAAAAATAATGATAATCATAATGTACAATACAAAATAAACTAGCAAAATGCAATGGATCAGTTATTAGTATCAATTCGTATGAATGCTAGTTATGTAAAAGAAAATTTTCAAATTAAATGGCATTGTGAAACAGGATTAGTAGATCATATTAATTTGATCACGAAAGAATATAAATTATCTCGTCAATTAATAGTAAGTTGTTGTGTGTTATTGTTGTTGTTGTTTTGATTAAACTATATTTTTAAGATCATCTGAAGAAGTCCAGACAAGTTAGCTGGACGAATTGTTGGAATTATTTAAATTTCAATCGCTGAGATTATTTCTATCCGAAGTTTGTGCTGATGATGTCGTTCAGAAGAACGATAAAAGCTTCACGATCAAACCATCCATCTCATAGAACAAAACTCCATCAAAATTATTTCAAATATAATTTTCACATATAATGACTTCTCTATACGGTGGAGCCCAATTTTTTTCAAAGTATTCGTTTTAATATTGATGAAGATTCGTATATATTTTTAAGGTTTCTTTTATTTTCATGATATTTTGTTTAGAAGAAGGTAATGATGATATAGAGAAACAATCATAAATGACAAAGTTTTTGCTATGTTCTAAATAGTCTCCCTTAATTGTCTTCACAATAGATCATACTAAGTAAATAATGGTAAACGTACATTTCATATAATCCTGGATGAGACTATTGATTTCAACTCTAATAATTTTGTAAAACATTTGTCCATCATTAACCAGGGTTTTTTTTCCAGTGTTACGCAGAATTCTTCAACTAGCTTAGTGAAACTCATGAACTTGGGTATATATATATACATAATAGAGAGGAAAAAGAAAACAAATTGTCCATCTGAAAATAAAACATATGATTTACTTGAATTTACTGGTCAACTACTTTTAAGGGGGTATCTTAGGTGAATTAACTAATGTTATGAATAGATAATGATAGGAAGTTACTTAATTAGATATTACCAATTAAGGATATTGGTTGGTGATTTAAACAAATGATTACTTGAGGTTTTGATTTGTTTCAATTTCGGCTTTATATAAAATCATTGAGTATTTGATTTTGTTGAGCCAACAAGTATAAATGAACCATTCGTTTTTCCATCGAGATTATTGCTCAGCTAAAAGTGTATATAAAAAGTTATCTTATTGACAAGGAATAATATTTTGTAATGATAGGTTAAGTGGTATCTTCCTATGGCTTAGTGATGTATAAATTACCACTGCGATTCATCTTATTTATTATAAATTCTCCTTGCTCAGTGTCAGCCATCTGTTATTGGCGTATTAACACAGTTGTTTATATCATAACATGGAAGGTTACCAGACACCATTGAATGCTTTTAGAACCATTTAATCTAACAGGTACAAATAACTATCAATGTTAAGCCAGTTATAAGCTTGGACTTCTATTTTTTCAGGTTAATAATTCCTTGGAACCATCATGAGAAGTTGAACACAATAAAAAAAATGACTAGGAATGATAAATGAACGACGCTTTTTGATTGTAAATCTGTCACAGAAACACAGCACATATTCACAGTCTACTGTTATCGCGCAACAACAAATAAGTAAAACTAGGGAATGAAAGAAGTTACGAAACTGAATTTTTTTCACTTAATCGATACTTGGTTTCTAACAGAATATATTTCAGCAAGTTGAACACGTTATTAAGGGATCGAAACTGTTGTACATTATTAGTCCCATCACTTATTTACAAAATATTTAACCAAGTTATGGTCATGAATAACATAGAAGATAATAAATGGTTACTCACGAATGAAAATATAATCCATAAAGCAAGAAGTAATCCTCCATTTCTACCGTTGTATCATCTACAATCTCGGGATTTTACCAAGAAAGGGAGTTAGTGAACAGTAACACCCAGTGTAATTTCCATGAATTTGTAAATTGTGGTTAGTTACTTGAATCGCACTTCTTCAGTAAACGATATATTCAGAGTCATCTTGACATAGTCGTTATGAAATGCCTATGACGACTTATTCGCCTGTAATATTCATCCAAGATTATATCAGTGTATTAAAAAGTTCTTTCTAAATTAACGTAAAATACAGTGATTCAAAGTGGGTTGGATAATGAGATTTTGAAACAAATACCGAGGTCATAAATTTATAGCTACACTAGTACAAATGTTAATGTTTTTAATTGATACCAATCTACACTTGATCAAATATTAACTTTTCAGCCTATTCGATTATGCATTCTTGGTCCACCTGCAAGTGGTAAGACAACACTGGCTAAAAAGCTTTGTGAATATTATAAATTGCCGCATATACATATTAAACAAGTCATCGATGAAGCTATAGCTAATCTAGTAAGTTGAATAGTTATTTTACTCCTGCTTGAGACTGTTTTTTTTCCCGACTCAACTGACTAAAGTACGTAAAGTTACATCTGACGGATTTGCCGATCTATCAAATAAACGGTAGGGGAAAAACGTTGAAAATGTATTGAATCAAGTGAAGATAATCTTAGAAAAAGTAACGAAAGCAGGATTATTTTCTACCAATATTCTAGGAGAATGGTTATTCCCCCAGCTTTAATAAAATCTGGTTATCAATCAGTTATAATTAACGTAGAACAATGCATAACTTAGTGTTGGACGAAGTGGCCAAGGCAAATTAGTAAAACGAGGTGCAGTTAAGATGAATAGAAAAGCAGTCAAAATAGCTGTAGTACCATTAATATTCAGAAAAACTTAACACCGGTAGTATGGTTCTAAAAGGTATGATGAAAAAGATATGTCTGAAGGAATACTAAAACCTGAGATAAAGAGGACATGGATCTGAGCAGCTATGATTTTGTTTACTTTGCTACACAATATCTTCAGTCACTAATCGTAGTTATCGATTGAACTCCAACTAAATAGTCTGGATCTACCATCACGGTTCAGTTCACCGATCAATAAATTTGTGGTCATTTTTTTCCGCCTTTAGGTTTCTGATAACCTAATTTTACTCTACTCAGCATCGGATTTCGCAGACATTGGTGGTTATCACAAGTAACACATCCCCACCACGTCATTAGATGAAGATTTACTGCTCCATTAACATGTATGCCATCTTTATCCGGTATCCTACGCTAAATCTCAGCTTTACTTACTTGGTTGTTCCATAAATTACTCTAAATGCTTCGAAGACAATTACAATTAAATACTTCTAATCCATGAATGTCCTAGACTTCTGAAGGAAGCATTTCACAGTCATAAACAGAGGAAACTGCTGTACAATACACCCACCCTTCAATCGGCAAACAGATACGTCACTTACCCTATGAAATAAGTGGCCAAAAGTCAACCGATCTTTCTGAACCCGTGTTGAGATTCCGTCTTATACCAAACCGCTAGGATTAACGAGTAATACACTTCACCACTCACTTCCTATGTTTAATACAGGCGAGTTTTTTTGTATAATATGACGATCGACTTCGGAATTTCTGAGGTCAGTAAGTTGACATTATAATTGGTCAAACGCATTATGTTACATGGGAAACATTTCAAAAGTTGTATTGAAGATCTGAAAATCTTGTAGATTTAGTACTACCGACGAATCAACACAAAATAGTTTATTATTTTCTGTCAAATGAAATAACATAGGCTGAATTCATTTAGAAAATAAATTCTACCAAATGTTAGAAGTAACACACTGAACCGTATCGATATCTTTGCTACCTACACGTTCATAAACATAGATTAGCCGTCAAACAACAGTGTGTTATTGCTAATTTCAATCTATATACATAGTTACGGATACAGTTGGCTAATATTTAGCTTTTAAATGCAGATGGCTAAAAAATACCAGGTGGTTTCTAATAGTCACTTATTTTATTTACTTTGAAATTAATAGATGCACTAATATAAATCAAATTACAACAATCGACAATGTAGTTCCAAGTTAACCTAACAATACAATAAATAGAAAGGTGGGTGTAAGTTAGAAGCAACAAATATCAAAATTGTTCAGTTCAGAGTAACACTACTGAAATAACTGAAAGTTATCAGTCCGCAACTAACAAAATTGTAGTTTCCTGAATACAACCTTGTAGTGTCAGTCATTATTTTAAGCTCATATATCTTATTCTACCTTTCGGACATTCCATTCTACTCATTCTACTTGAGTCATATTTTGACCTTGTCAATTATTCGCTTATCAGTCTTGACTGTTTTTATATGAGCGTACATCCCATTAATCACATGTCTGTAGCTTTATTTTGTCTGACTATAAATATTGAGTAACGCTTGACAAAGATGGAGTTGACTTCCCAGCCATCTTCCCTGCATGTCATTTTGCTTTGCTCTGTTTCATTCGCTTCGTATACAAAATATATGTATTCACAAGTCAATTCTCGTTGTTCGACTTATTTAATTCCATTATTGACTAACGTGATTTAAGTCGACGATGATATACGGGAATAGGTGACAGCAAACATCCATACGATCTAAACAGGAGTCAGATCCACGGGCCACTAAAACCTCATCATAGTAAAAATTCAAAACAATTTTCGAAAAGCAGATACACCACAATACTATAAGCAATATTTATCTGTTATCATAATTGCCAATAGATTATCAGAAGTATCATTTCAAGATAATAAGTTATCATCATATAAATAGGTTGTAATATTTAATCTGAGGTTCGTATTACTACTACTACTAGGACAAAACAGCTATCTAGTACTTGCTGGTTTTCAGTAACATCCTTACTAAGGTGAATCCGTGACTAATGTCATTTGCAAATTAAACCAATAGGCACAAAATCCCTTTATCAATAGTATAGTTGTGCGCTCACTAGTAAAATAATATTCTTTGATTGTATTTATCATAAATCTCGTGATTAATATACATTTGGCATAATTGTTTTTCGATACAAACGATAGAAAAAACGTGTTCAAATGATTGAAGAAGCTCAAAGTGATCAAAACCAAATGCTTAATGAAAATGAATATCCAGGCAGTGAAGATTCTGAGTTCTTAGAAGCTATTCAACAAAACATGACTGAAAATAACGGTCGACTTGGTTTAGAATATGTAACAACGTAAGTAGTTTATTTTTTAATCAGTAATTATAACAATGAAACCAGATCACATAGCTTTTCTAATTGTACAATTTTCTACTTGAAATAAATGTCTATTAAAATAGGGAAGCTATGAAAACTACTTATGAGGGTTTGTATTTTTCTGTTGTTGATGTTAAGGACTGAAACTAATTATAGGTGTCATTACCAAGGTTTGATTTGATAATTTCGAATAAATTGAGCATTGGGTTGATTGTTATAAATAAAAATAATATATTTGTAATATCCCAATGAGTAGGAAATTGGATTTTTCTGACGTTTCGTGGCTTAGTGTAAGTCACTTCTTCAGAGAATAAATAACCAAATTAAATTAATCCAAGTTTAAATAGTACAACGGAACAATGCATTGCATAGAAGCTATTCAACAAAACATGACTGAAAATAACGGTCGACTTGGTTTAGAATATGTAACAACAACAATGCATTGCATTGTTCCGTTGTACTATTTAAACTTGGATTAATTTAATTTGGTTATTTATTCTCTGAAGAAGTGACTTACACTAAGCCACGAAACGTCAGAAAAATCCAATTTCCTACTCATTGGGATATTACAAATATATTATTTTTATTTGAAACTAATTATTTCCTATGGGCATATTTGCATCCCAAATGGATTGGCTTGGTGTTAGTGTTTAATCATAAGATTTGACTAAGACAGTGACTAGCAAATACGATTCATACTGATCACACAAACTAGTGACCACTTGAAATCAGTAGCTCGGTTGATAACGAGTTGGTCTTTGAAATGAAAGATACTGGATTTGAGTATCAATATGAACACCAACGCCAAAATGTAGGTACATTTAACTGATGAATCCTACTTGGGACATGCCCGTCCTAAATCCCACCAATAGCCACTAACTAATTTTGATAGAAACCGTGAAGAATATTCAATTTGAAGTTTGATTTTATTACAGACTGGGATCAAATGAAAAAGAAAGAGTTAAACTATCAGAGAATGGCTAGGACCAAACAGCTGTACAATCCCTTCTAGATGTCAATGTCTGTCGTCCAGATAAAAATAATCTTCGGTGTAAGCTATTTTGAAAACTGAACCATCTCCATCAATTGCCTATCGTAATAATGATTTTTTTCTCGCTAGTGATTAATCGACAAAAATTGATGCTATGAAGTACTTGATTATGGGATTAGTGGAATAAAAGATTTACGCTCATAAACAAGAGACTTTAAGGTCCAGAGTTCAGTTCCGCTGAGGTAAATGGCCTGATTTGATGTGGAGATCTAAAATAAGACGGGAATATAGATCAATTATCCCTTGGCTTCCAAAGGTTATTTACTTGTAGAATGTTCGGGGAGAAAAATACATACAAATTACCCGTGGGAGATTCTTCACAGACTACACCAGTAGACTTCACATAGCAGTTTTCAGAAGAACCCAGTAATCCATTTTCATCCCAATTGAGATTTATCAGCAGAATACACCTGCATCTAGGCGTTGATACTCATACAATTCATAATATATTTTATACATGTTAAATAATCTGATAAGTATCATGCCTCTGAAATTTCGTGAATAACATCCGAGCATTTGAATCGATGAGTTTTCGACATAGACAAACCTGACTTACTAGTGGAGAAAACCACACCTTATCGGTTGAAAACATGCATTGGTAATAAGTTTGTCTACATACGAGGAATTTAATCGATCAATATGTAGTGTGTAAATAATTCATAAGTTGCCAGACTAAGTCACCATTATAATCTAAAAAGCTCTTTATAATGATAAAATTACATAAACTCTTGTTATTTAGATTATTTCAAGAAAAACTCAACTCTAAGCCATGTCAAAATCAAGGATACATAATTGATGGATATCCGAAATCAAAAAAGCAAGCAGCCTCGTTGTTTTCTCGTAAGTTCCGTAAAAATAACATAACAATTAATAATAAACATATTTTCCGTTCTATCCCAATGAATAAAAAAATTGTATTTCTGGTGTTTCGTGACTTAATTTAAGTCACTTCTTCAAAGTAAATAAATAACCGAATCAAATCAACACAAGTTTAAATAGTAATAATTGTCATTATTATATTACAACTATGGTTACCGTTGACGTAAAATAGAAATTCGAATCGAATAAATAACCAAATTGTTCAATGATCATGATGTTTGTGTCATTATTACTAAGGGCCTGACAAGTCCTAAATAAAAAAACATGTCCGTTCTGGTTTCTAGAGATAGCTATAATACGTTTATTTTTAGGAAATTATGTGAAAGACTAGTTAGTCAACTTAAAAAAGGGACGGAAACTTACTATAGAAGATCCAATATGCTATAGAATACTACTTATTTTTGTGATGTTACCCTTTTTAGTCTGAATGCTTTAGTCATATTACATTCACTGTACTTTTTTAGGCTAATTTATCAACATAAATTTCAGTATAAACTATTGATATTGCTTTATAAGTAGTTAACAGCTTGGTTTGTTGCGGTAGAATCTGATTGGTTTCTGTTCGGCAATAAATATCTTGTCACTGTATGCAATGAAGTATGTGGATGGTTATAGTATTTTCTTAATATCTCTGTAGATTTCTGAGTGACCTCAGTGCTAAGCTTCAAAAAAACCTATCTATTCTTAAAAATCCTCCTAAGATATCACAACGAAACTAGGAGAAAACGTCCCCTTTCCAGAAATATTACTAGCAAGTAGTGTAATTGCAAAAAATATTTCATTTATCAATTATTTTAACTAAAATTAGGTTTTTCTATAGAACCTATCAAGCTGAAAAGTTGAACACTAATAGGCTATTAAGTTTTAAATCAGGAGTGAATACATTTCCCCCTTCCACTGCCACTGATCATGGTTCATATTAACCAAAGTTTCCAACCATATATTACAATTATTATGTTGATCCATCAACCAGTTCATTATCTCAAACTAGTAAGCTGAGAAGTACGTAAAAAGAATACTGAAATGATCCCTGTGGACAAACCTCAAGTGCGCTATACCTTCAACGAAAATTTCTGACTGGTAGATGATGGGATATTCAGGAAAATATCCCAAAAATTATTCTAAGTCTAACGCTATCCTTGGACTTGAGATGGTGTCATTTTCCTATTGGTCAATACTTATTTAACGTGTCGCTTTCCTGTTGGCCAATATTGTACAATGTTATTTTCTATTTTATGGTACGATGTGGTCTGCTTGATTAGTATATAAACAGAGTGTGCTTGAAATATGACGATTCATATCTCAGAGGCTGAGACTTGTGTTCTGGACTCAACTGGCTGGGCTAGACAGGGAAGCGGGACCAATCAGACTCCTAGGCCGTTCTTACGTGTTTGCGCGTCTTTGGTCCGATCGATAATTCGCTGTCCTCTAATCTTCTGCCGTCACAGTTGTAGCAGTAGAACAGTAAATTACATTCAGAATGACATGCAACTATCCATTTTAGACTTGAATTTTACTAAAGGTTTGACAGAAAGTGAAGAAAGAAATAGAATTACATCAAGGTCTACAAGGAGAAAAATGTGAAAAGTATAGAATAAGTAATAAGTAGTGAATTTTTTTCGAAATATAGATCGAATAAAATGACGAATTTAATCGAAATTATTTGTAACACTGAATTATGCACTGATGGATTCCATCAAGTACTATGATCTGTGCGAGATTTAGACCTGACGGTGGAGAAGATTTGTAGCTCAGATGAATGATTTTGATGGCATTTTGTTCTCTGAGTTGGATGGTTTGGCCGTGGAGCTTTCATCGTTCGAATACTTCATTTCTATCTGAAGTTTGTGCTGACGATGTCGTTCAGAAGAATGATAAAAGCTCCAAGACCAAATCATCCAGCTCAGAGAACAAAACTCCATCAAAATTCAAACCTGGTATTAATAAACTCTGAGAGTCAAGTCTTAAATTCATTGATACGTTATTGATCTATGAAACTCGTATCTTCTAACCGTTTATTTCAAATGTTTAATTTTTTATTTAATATTTCGTGGAAGCCTATTTCGTTAGCCAATTAGTTACTTTAATGACTCCGACAGCATATGGTTATTGAAATGTTTTTCACCTCACGAATAATTCTATTCTTCTCATAAGAAATCGTGACTTTCAGTACATATAACTTCGATACTAATGCCACTGTAACTATACGTCTCATATGTGCTTGTATGTCTACGCTTATTATACTTGTATCCTTATCGCACTATGCACTGTCTTTTTTGAGTTATATTACCGCTCATAATGAGTAGTCTTTTAAGTAAGACAGTGGGCACTAAAAGTTTATCCACAGTTTTAGTGACTTTATTTTTCCTTAAAATATATTTCAGCTAGTGGGGGTAGTGGGGATGGCGAAGAAGACGAAGGAGAACAAGAGAATGAAGAAGAGGAGGAAGAAGGAATTAAAGCAATAGATACAAGCGATTTTACACAATCAGCTAATGAATTGTTTAAAAGTCAATACTTACAATCTGAAAAAGAAGCAGACGATGTAACTAAAGAATTAGGATTATTATCAACTCAACCAATACCGATGCAATTACCTAAAGGATTACTTCCTGCATATGTATTTGAACTTCAAGCAACTGATAACTTTTTAAGAGATCGTATTATGAATATGCCAGAATATAAAGTACATGGGACACATTATACTGAATCGGGTTTCTGGCGACGTTTAAATGAATATCGTACTAATCAAATAGGAATAAATCCAGCTTTATCACCTACTTTAAATATTCCTGGATCTCCAGGTTCTGAACCTGAAGTTGGACAAGTTGATTTAAATTCATTAAGTCCATTAGCTTCAGCAAGTATTTACGAAAATTCTGTAAGAGCTTATTTTGATTCCAAAGGAATTCTTCAAATCCCAGTCAATATAATGACTGATGAAAGTGAAGTGAGTAACAATAATAATGGAAGTTTTCGTTTGATTAAAACATATCTTTCTAAAAAGCGTTATACAAATTCTAAATCCATTAAATTTGATAAATGGGTAAACTATCAGATATCTTTGAAACTAAGTTTAAACTTAAGGAAGACCTGATCACATTTGTATTTCTCTTAGGGTATACTCTTAATTATAAATCTTCATTCGTACATACTGTAGTTTATCATGGGTAATTTTAAGAGCTAGAAAACTATTTACATGGCTGGTAGCTAAACAATCTGAATTATTTAGTTGTACATATGCTAGCTGACTTAATTAACATAATTTTAAAAAGCTCTCATTTATGTTACTTACTTGCTTACGCCTGCTACTCCCAGTGGAGCATAGGCCACCGACCAGCATTCTCCAACCCACTCTGTCCTGGGCCTTCTTTTCTAGTTCCATCCAACTCTTGTTCATTTTTCTCATGTCTATCTCCATTTCTCGGCGTAATGTGTTCTTTGGTCTTCCTCTTTTCTTTGGCCTTCAGGATTTCATGTGAGGGCTTGTCTTGTGACACAGTTGGTTGCTTTCCTCAATGTGTGTCCTATCCACTTCCAGCGCTTCTTCCTGATTTCTTCCTCTGCTGGGATCTGGTTTGTTTTCTCCCACAGTACGTTGTTGCTAATAGTGTCTGGTCAACGTATCCGAAGTATTTTGCGTAGACAACTGTTAATAAACACCTGTATTTTCTGGATGATGGCTTTCGTAGTTCTCCAGGTTTCCGCCCCATACAGTAGAACTGTCTTGACATTTGTATTGAAAATCCTGACCTTGGTGTTGGTTGACATTTGTTTTAAGCTCCAGATGTTCTTCAGTTGTAAATATACTGCTCATTTATGTTGTATTTGATCAATTAAAGGATGTAATTTATAACTTATATTTGAAATCATAAGCTGATACTTTTTTACGACACTAAGTCATAAATCAAAAGATGAAAATTCCAATCATCATAATTAGACAAGTGAAAAGCATAATCACTTTTTACCCAGCTGATTGCAATGGAAATCAAACGATCAGTTCCACTTTATTAGACAAGAACATAAAATACTAAATAATTAGAGTAAATCTATAATGATTTACTGCGAATTTAGTCAGTTTGAATAAATAAAGGAAGAATTCCTAGTCATAAATATGCTTGGAAAATCAAATTGTTCCAGTCTTTCCATGATAATATACTGATAATAAAGTTATAGATGATATTACATAGTATAACTTCTTCAAACTCTAATGTTTCCGATTACTGTTTATACTCTTACTACCTCTACCACTACGGAATTTGAGTCGACAACTGCATCTCTGCGACAAGTCGAACTGATATACGTACGTACGAAGTTCTACGTCGTTACTGACTGACTGATATCAGTGAAAAAAAGTGAACTCACAGATTAACTCATTTATTGAAGAAATAGATTTTTAAAAATTGCTGAGATTAATATAATTTACGTGACAGTTTTGAACTCATTGTAGTGTGTTTTTTGGATTTGTGTCTTTATATATTTGAAATTGAGGAAAGTCGTTTTTCGCAGTGCCGGACACCAACCAGTGCATAATGATTTCTGTGTACACTTCTATAATGTTTCGAATTATTTGAATTATACTACGAACTAAGAGTCCCAGAAATAACGCAATTGAATCAAGAAGTACTAGATAAGCACAAACCAATTTACTGTATTAGAATTCGAAATCAAACATTCAACAAGTACAAAGAAATCATCAGTTCATTAAAACACCACAACTTCACTTGGCAAGATGATTCATATTACTTTGATTTGTATTTTTAAATAAAAATAGGAGTTGGAACAAAACATTTAAAAAACTAGTTTATTTTATTGGTCCACCACGTAATTATGGTTTATCTGATGAAGAAATTGAAAAGCAGCGATTAATTGTGGAAAAGCAACGTATTGAATTTGAAAGAGCAGAGGAGGAAAGATTAAAACAAGAAATTGAAACTGCAGAAGCTGAACGTAATCGACGTATAAAAGAATGGGTAAGATGTAGAGTTTTTTTTTAAATAAAACGCTCCTTACATGTTTATATCTGTGGCAGATGCAGAAGATATGTGTAGATTGCAAGTATTTGATAATAGGTCGTTAGGATGTTTTATGCATACTCAATCACTACCTACTACGACGTTCTCTGTTGACTGGTATAGAAGCCGGTATAAAAAATCAGAACAATACGTTCCTAGATGAAAATGTTTGAAGTAACAAAATTCTGTGTCAGTTGACACTCGATTCGTGTATCAACTCAATAAATAACCCAAAATATAGGATGATTTAGAATACAAAGATACTTATTATTTTTTGTATGAAAAAGATCGATAGAAATAGGAAAGAACTAAAGGGTTCACAAACATGGCATTGGTAACTACTGAGTGATCAACTAAATTTGCATATCGCAATCATACAGTAGGTGGGTCTCAAACCAAATATCTCACTGGCAAAATTCGTGTGACACGCATCAGAACCATATAGAGGCATCTGCTCCCTCAAATATGCCCTGCTAACGATTGCCAATTATTACGAAACCTAGGTTCAGGATTTTCTGATAACTATCTCCAAACACTTGGTATAAGAATGGACAAACGTATTTACGAAGTACAGCTACCAAAATTTGATTCATGTGTCAAGTCCCCAACATCTAGCTGCAACTGCCTCGCAGACTCAAAATCGCCTATGTCTACCACTTCCAAGCAAAAACTTCTGATTTATCATTAAGGATCAATAACATTCCAGGTGACTATCAACATGACACGTTAGATTTATGCTATATCTCCAAGTTTCATAATAATTTCAGCCCTAGTCTGTGAAACAATATCAAGTGATATAATGATACGCCTAAATTAAACTGGGAGTTTCGATGACGTAAACAAATTCTGCAATACATATTAAAGATGTATTGTGCGGTTATTTCCTTCTTGAATTCTCTATAAGAATAAGTGGTCTAGTTCTGAAAAAATGCATCATCTTCGTCTGTTCTGTCGGCAAGTTTTTCATGCAAAAGGTATAAAGTATCCCGTGATTTTGTAAGCTCTATGCCAATTATTGCAGTAGTGTTAATAGGCTTTATCAGAAGTTATTAAAAAAACTTGCGGTAGTTCGCTCCATCCTACTCTACAGGTGTGAAACCTTAGTATATACTGTTGAACACTTTTATATGACGCTATAAAGGCTGATTTGATATCAACCCTATGATGCAATTAGTCTTGAATGTAATCGTTCTATACAGAAATTCCAAATTTACATTTGAATTTTTGTAAATAAGAAGGGAGGACTCAATAAAAGTAAAATAATCTGTCACTTAACGCTACACAAAGAATACTGTACACGCTAAACGATTTATCAACAGTACGCCGATCCGCCAAAGAACAAATGACAAGGAAAATTCAGCACAGCACATGAATAGATAGATACTTTCATATGTATACTGATACATTTATATGCAACTGGAACTTTCATAGAACTATCAACTTATCTTCGTTTTTTCCCCTTTAGAAAGAAAAACAGGAAGCTTTGGAAAAAGAAGAAGAAGACCTATTAAACAAAGAAGCAGAACCATTAAGGGCTTATTTAAGAAAGCATATTATGCCAGTATTAGCAAAAGGATTAACTGAATGTGTTCGTAAACGTCCAGATGATCCGCTGGATTTTCTAGTAAGTATTTATTAAATGGAATTAGTGGTATTTAAACTTGATATATTTTTAATGTACAAGCATCGTCATAATAGGATATTTTACTTGACCTTACAATTAAACTTAAAGAAAACTACGAAAATTTAGTCAGAATGAGTTCAGTACTCCCTAGAATACTTTACTTAACTCATAATATATTGAAATCATGAGTCAATTGATGCGAGACCACCATGGAAAACCTGGAAGCACTGGACGGCCGTCCCGTCCTAGTATGGGACTCCTCAGCAGTGCGCATCCACGATCCCGCACCCCGCGAGATTCGAACCCAGGACCTGTCAGTCTCGCGCCAGGCGCGATTTCAATCAAAAACTTAACGATCTCCACAACCCCTAAACTGATCATAATATATTGTAAGTTAAGGGTTAGATAACACTTCATCATGTGTGGTGTTACAAAATACCCTCATATAAAACTTAGTGATCGACAGGAAATCCTGGAATTAGGATTCGTGCCATTTAGTACTTGCCAGTAAAAGGTTCCTGCAATCTTGAAGGAACTGGTATTCCCTTCATGGACCCAATCCTATGTCATCTAGCTTCACAGTCCGAGGTATTACCATTGAGTTGTTTCCGTCACAGATGACCTCCTGCAGAGCTACGATAAAAGGGACTAAGCAAACACAATATTGACCACTATGCAGTAGTCAATTTATTACAAATATCTATCCTAAAGTAGGTTCATCGCGACTTGAACAACTCACTGGCAAGGTTTCAGACTGTGAAGCTGGGTTAAACAAGGGGAAATATTTCAGGGTGTATCAGTTCCCTTAAGATTACAAGTACATCTTGCTAACAAGTGCTAAATAGCGCAAAACCTAGACCCAGAGTTCTTTTATCTACTTTCACCTACAATACTTTATATTACATTAACATCAGCAAAACAAGAACTTTGGAAAAATATGTTTAGAACACATATAAAGTCCTTTGTTCAGTTTAATCAAGCATAATATCATCAAGTTTATATCAAACTGAAAAAGTTTCTGCATTCGTTAACTGTTGTCATTGGAATTCTTTGTTGATTATTCAAAATGTCTACAGAATAGCGTAAATTATAATTTGGCAACAAGGGCGACAATCACTGACAAAACCTTTGACGGATGCAGATTCATTTCAATTGCTGCGCCAATGAAACGAAACAAACACATTTACATATGATGCTCTATATATGATTGATAGCATGAGTAGCTTAACAGAGGAATAATGAAAACGAGGGAAATTTGCCTAAACTTGAAACAGTGAGATTAGACGCTTTTTACGTGGTAGCAATAATTTGATTTTTCCAGAAAGAACTATTAAATGTGCAAGACAGGTTAGGATTTCTTGTAAAAGATTATCAAGGTCTGACTTTATAATTTCAAATAAATTAAGCATTAGGTATTTCTATGATACACATGATTTCTACAAACATTTTCAGTAATACTCGTACCATTATCTCAGCTTTATCTACGACTGGAATTTTTTCTAAATACCCAATTAAGTTTAATCAGCTGTAACTAAGATCGGTTGATGGGATATTAAAATTACAACTAGGGAGGTCTTGTTTTGGAGTTTTATGATTGGAACTTTAATCCTCAAACAGTAAGACATTACAATACTTAGATGCCAATCTGTTGTATCATGGCCTACTGTAGCATTTTGACTAGGTTAGTGCCGTTTTCTTCCAGACTTAATTTTTCCCATGTTTTCGATGTGAAGAACAGTTTGAACAGCAACACACTAACATGAAAACCTTGTTCTAAATTACATATCACATTTTTTTACACTACTAAACCGGAGATTAGTAGTGCTTTGAAATCTACTGTACAAATAATTCTTCAAACACAAACTAAATTTACAATTAATAAATATTGAGAGGAAACAAGTGATTGATGTACATTCATATAAGAAATATAGCAGCATAAAATAAAATAAGTGGGGTCGCGAATAATAATACGAATAACCAAAATGATTGATTATATAATTAATCGACATGACTAGAATAAAATCAATCCAATAGGGGGAAGTCAGTTGGTCGTACAGCGGTTATTTGGTCATCGATTTGATTCCAAAACAAACAGTCCACGACTACTCCTTAATAGTTAATCATCACAACAATGTTGATCCACTTTGTCAAATAGTATAGAATCAAGATTCAATTGCGAAAATGACGAGGATAGTCTATTTCGAATAATCAACAAGCTTATGATACCCAAACTAGAGATAAAAGAACTCAACACTTAGAAAAACCAAGGAGTTAATCGATCCCCAATTATCAGGCAGACAAACAAAACGTAGATTCTTCAAGAGCTGTGATAAACATCCAGATGTACACCAAATAAGGCATCAGTGATTAGTAACAACAACAAGTGAGGTCGTTTGGTGACAATTACTGATTAAAATTGAACTTACTTTGAGTAGTGATTGTACCAAGCATTTATGTAAAGAGAAGGAAGTCAGAGTTAACTTTGAGGAATTAATTCCAACTACTTCATAACGAAGTTTGAAATGTAGAAGACTGGATGGCAATTTAATGATCTAAAGGTTAAGCGCTCGCATACACTATCTTCCCTTAAACTAAGAGATTAAAATCGCTTCATATCTTTCTTTCTTCCTGTACTATGTCCTTATTGCAATCTTTCTTTTATATATTACCACCTCTGAATTAACTACTTTTACGAATCCGGTGTTCATCTTGTTGTGTTAATGAGGTATGGCAACTTGGACCGATGCATATATGTGCCTGGTCCTACGTTGTAGCTGACTGACAAGCGCTCTCACAGACCTGAAGGGCCTACGTTCGACTCTCAGTGGGGCCAAGGATGTATACTACTGAAGGGTCTCATCCTAGAACGAAACTTGTTTAGTGATTCCTGATTTTTAATAACTGCCTAACATAATTTAGTTTGTGTTGGGGACGATAGATCCCCAAAACTCAAATTTTGTAATTTACTTATCGATTAAATGTGCAGATAGGTCAATTGATGAACTATCGATTAAATGTACAAATAGGTCAATTGATGAACTATCGATTAAATGTTCAAATAGCAGTCAATTGTTGATTAATGTTCAAAAATCTTCCATGACAATATCGATTGTAAATATTTGTATAAATACGCTTGACTTGTGTGCTTGATCTGATGGACTTGTTATCTGCTGTTTGTCTGTAGAATACACTTTCTACACCTTACCCAGACTTTTTGATCGAGTTAGCAGAGTTGGGGACAACGGACCAGAATAGACTATTGAGTCTCTGAATCCTTGATCCGATCGATAAGTCACTGTCATATAATCGGCGTCCCTTTGAGGCATAACAATTGGCGACGGGGTAAAAAAAACAATCCAAAGTCAGCCTTCAGCATCCAGATTTGTCATCAGTGTCCTTCAGCAACATTGGTCATTAATCAAACAGTAATTTTCATTACCGGTGCTGAATAAAAAAAATGACTCTCCCTTCCGATCGAGTACAGCTGCTATTTGAAAGACAGTTGGAGTTTTTAGTCAAATTACGCACGCAGCTGTTAAATCACTCATGCTTTGGAGATGCAACGGAAGTGGATGGATTGATCTCTCAACTGCACACAGAGCTGGAAAATGATTGCAGCCCCAATGAATCCCCGATAAACCGTATTTCAAACGGTACAACAGTCACTCAAGATTCGCCCAGTGGTCCAGTCCTCTCCATTCCAGAAACATGCCCGGTAATGGACTCAAACTCCATTATCCCCAAAACAGCATGTGCAGACGGTGACTTATCCAGCTCACAAACACACTCCCTGGTAAATGCTCATAGAATTGTCGCAATAACCACCCATGAAACAGAAAACAAATCGAGCAGTACACTGAATACAACTGCTTCAAATGGTTCTCATCAGTCTGCGACAGATGTTTTTGACAAATCTTATTATCAAGATTCTCTTTTACCAGAAAATATGTCAGATGCATCAAATGATGATCAAAAACTTAATACAATTTTGATAGATGCTAATTACCTTGATGATTCATTATCTACAAATAAGATTCCAAATAAATTTGGTCACAATATTTCAGAAGAATTAAACTTCGAACACCTCATATCAAGTGTCGTTCAGCCTCAAGACTTAGTCACTTTCAGTCAATTCTCTGTTCAGTGCGATAAATATGTCTTAAATAAATTCAAGTTAATTATAACGTGGGCATATGAGGATCCAACACTGTTTCGTGGGGGAGGATGGACCTGGAAAACTTAAAATCCGGATATCAACTCCGGATCTTCTAAAAAGGGGAGGAGTGTTGGGGACGATAGATCCCCAAAACTCAAATTTTGTAATTTACTTATCGATTAAATGTGCAGATAGGTCAATTGATGAACTATCGATTAAATGTACAAATAGGTCAATTGATGAACTATCGATTAAATGTTCAAATAGCAGTCAATTGTTGATTAATGTTCAAAAATCTTCCATGACAATATCGATTGTAAATATTTGTATAAATACGCTTGATTTGTGTGCTTGACTTGACTTGTTATCTGCTGTTTGTCTGTAGAATACACTTTCTACACCTTACCCAGACTTTTTGATCGAGTTAGCAGAGTTGGGGACAACGGACCAGAATAGACTATTGAGTCTCTGAATCCTTGATCCGATCGATAAGTCACTGTCATATAATCGGCAGTCCCTTTGAGGCATAACAGTTTGTGACATACAAAATAAAATATTACATAACCCTCGGTTTTTCCGGCTGACATCGATAAGGTAAATTTACCGCAACCATATAATTTAACCATATGATAATCTATTTTCTAATATGCGAATCATTGTCAACTTATTAATAGTGTGTCACTTTCAACTATCATAATTTATCATTTTATAATTCTATCTCATTTCAGAATTGCATCCCAACTTTATCAACTAAATTATGTTAAACTTTTGTTTTTAACCATATTCCTATTCATAAAATTAGGTAGTTTGGAGTTGATAAGGAGTCTTAAAATAGAATACACATTTTTTTTTATAATGTTACACCTAATCTGTTTAAAACTATCAAGGTAACCAAATCTATGGAAAAACTAACATTTCTTTTCTGATTTTTTCTTTAAATTTCAGGCTGAATATTTGTTTTACAATAATCCTCAAGTTGATTAAATTTTTTCAATATTCAATTAGATTGAATAAATAAACAAAATTACATCTCATGGAAATGAATAAATAAAATTAAAAGAAATTTAAAGACAAATGACCAACATTTACTTAAAAAGAAAGGAGAACTTAACCATATAAGTACAAAACTTAAAATCTAAATCATTTTTATACTTTATGGTTATAACTGTAATGTTCTTTTGTCAGTAACTTTTACTAATAAACTTCTCAAAGTCATGATAGAAATTATATTCATTATGGACTCTCAATAATGAATACTTAATAACAGAATTTTACAAACACTTGGATGTAATTATTATTGCTAACTAATAATCTACAAGTTAATTTGTAAATAATTCTCATAATTTCCTGACTTTATATCTAGGTAACATATTATTCAGTGATGTCAGATCCTGTATTTTGAGTCGGTGCAAAAAGCTCATTATTCCCTGTTGGTTATACGTCTCATTATGCTATAATACTTGAGAGAAAAAACAAAACATTTTAAGCTACTTAAAATACTTTCGTTTATTCATCATGGCTTTTGTTTAGTGATTATTACACGGGAAACTTAAATTTCCATAGTTAGGATTTCAAGTAGTAGTGGTTTGTAGAGATTTAGTTAATTTCATTAGCGGAAGAACAGTGAAGAGCATGTACATACATTTATTCTTACAGATGTGGTGTTGTAAATGACACTCAGGTATCTGGATAGGCAACCTGATAGGGAAGTTGCTGGTGTGGGAGACAAGATTGATTTCAGTGCCTCGGTAAAGACCACATCTAGTGATGATGAATCATGATTATTAAGGGCCAAACGTACAACGTTTTAATATGAGTAGCAATACCATAATTGTGAAAATTAACCTCCCATGGGTTAAGGAAGTCAGGAAGTTTTCCATTCAGATTCTGCTACTAAAACAATACTGCTTGTTTTCTGGCAGTAACATTATCTAAGTAATGCTGAAAATTATTAGCCTATCTAAGCATAGTAGAGACTATCATTTGTTCGGGTGTTTTCGATGCGAACAGCGAATTCGGTGGCTCAGAGGTGTTTTATAAATTAGCTCTTATATCAACCATTCCATGATGAACTGAATGAAAACATATAAGAGAACAGTTGCTTTGCGATATGGATCTGTGAAACACTACTTCTTGGGTAAGGATTATGAACATTAAGTAACTTAATGTTTTTTGACTTTATCAAGTGGCAGATATATGGATCTAAGAAAATAATAAGATGCTCATGTTCCCAAGGTCCGATTGTGTGTTGAATGTTTTGGTGTCTCAATTCACACACTTCATGTTAGATAAATACATTAATACAACTGGTGTAAACCATGTTAGATTATAAATACTAAATGGACTGTTACAAAAACATTGCAGTTCAACAATATAAAGGGTTGTATTTTCAAAGCAAGAAAATTAATTACAACACTGTACACCAAAATAACGAATTTGGTCTATCGTTTCATTTCCCCAAGATTCTCTATTACGTCTTTATCGATCTACAAGACAAAAATAAATCGTTTGAACTTCATAGTCAGCAAGTAAAAGAATGAGGGCACCAAAACTTAGATTAAAGTGTTAAAAAAAATTTTGTTGGATAGGTTTTGTATAGATATGTTTAGTTCCAAAGTGGTATACATCAAAGATTGATCTCGGCTGCGGAACTATAAAACCAGTGGGGCTCACCAGCTGTTTCGCCTTGGTGTGGAACCCCTCAGTACTGCGCACCCACGATATTACCAGGGATCGAAATCAGAACTTTCAGAATTCTCAGTGAGCAACCTACCACTCGGTCAACTCCCAATGGTATGTATTTTTAACTCCAATCAATTCGTGATACAATGCAACAATCATCCGATGCCGTTGATGAGTACTGTTTTACTCCCGACATGTTTGAATTCCACCGGTCATAACTTTTCACCAATAATTCATAACTCCATCTCTAAACAAGTCACTAAAGGGTACGATTATAGTATAGGTCTTTCTCAATTGGTTTTCTACATTGCTCTAACTGAAAACAGTCAGTAAGGAATACCACCATTATATATAAACTCATAAATAACAATGAGCACCTGTCCTTGATGTGCATCGTCTGCGATGAGCTTAACCTAATGTAATTCATTTATCAAGTACTAGTTCGTTCGCTCTAACTTGAAATAGATTTTTAACGTGAGAAGTAGAAATAATGTTCGACTGGTGTACCCGAACTAGATGACAGAGGCATCTGAACTGTCTTAGTGGTTAAAAGTCGGATGATTTAACCACTAAGCTTGACAAATCCTAATGAAATTAATTTCTCATATGACTGAAAAAATTAACCGAATATAATGGTTTAGAATTCCTTGTAGGCAATAGTAAAAAGCATTAAGGGAAAGTAATAACCTCAACTATCATCACTTTTAAAATGACTACATAAGACTGATACTTTAAGCAGACATACCATTAGCTAAGAGAATAATCATCCCTTTTCATACTTTAGGTATCTATGTAAGAAAGATACTAAATTTCACGATATGAATAACCAGAAAGTTATCTGGTTGCATATTTACGACAGAACAAAACAACCTTCTATTTATCGGCGGCCTCTTTTTGTCTTTCCCCTTTAATCATAATCATTATTTCTGTTGATAAACTTATCATTTATATATTCTATTCAAATTCTTATCCTCCAACTGTTAACCGTCCGAACCCGAAAATTCCAATCCATGCATTTAACAGTGTATTCTAATTTCCAACAACTCAAATCTTTGTTAATTCAGGCAGCAAGGCTGTTGAACGAACGGGAATATGTAGTTCTGATATATATAATTATTAGAGCTGTATTACTGGAACCAAAGACAGCTAAGAATTTAAGCATGTAAACAAAATGAAAAATATACACTATAAGCATGAAAGAAATGACGAACAGAATAAGAAAAGTAACTCACTTCTGGCCATTTTTCTATTAATACATTAATTAGCTCGTCTTTTACATCTCCTTGAATTACAATTTCATCACCATTCCCCGTTACCGAACTACCGGTTGCAAATTTGTGACCAAATACTTTCGAAGCTGCTTTCAGATCAATCCCTTAATTATGAAAAAACAGGCCGATTGAGTTGTGTTTTAATTCGTCATAAAATTACTATTTCTTGATTGCTTTCGTCTTGATTGATAGTAAAGCATAAGGATCTATGGTTTCATTTAGTCACAGTCGATGCCTAATGATCGAAGTCGGCAGCGGAATATTGGTATTCTACCGTGAATAGTTGGATTTAACAGTACCATTAATAAATTGCAGTATATGGCATCATTTATTCACGAATCCAATATAGATTTTCAATCATTAAGGTTGGTAGTCAGGTCTTAATTTCCTTAGTGCTTGAGTAATGCAGAGGTTTGGCATCATGTGTTCGGGCACAGAGATGATAATGCAATCGATGTCACCATCTTGAAACACCACCTTCGGTGGCTTGGACATGTTCTACGAATGTCATCCCAGAGAATTCCACGTCGTGCATTATTTGCCGACTCTGGGACTGGTTGGAAGAAGCAGAGAGGTGGTCAGTGCATGACATGGTGTCGTGGTATGAAGGAAAGCTGCACAGGACTGGCTTGTGTTGGTCCTTCACGACTCCCTGGTTGGGGTCCGAGAGATGGTGCTACACAGTGGCTAGAGACGTTATCAGATATGGCTCAGAATAGAAGCCAGTGGTGATCCTGCTGTACCCTTCTTTTACTTTCTTCATAAAAGTGGTTATGTCTTCCTTAACTGAAAGATTTCTTCTGATTGTACCTTTCCGTTTCCCTCATTACTACTATTATTATTACTGTTATTATTATTACACTACTTTACACTTATCTATTTGTTATTGTTCTTTTTTCTCTTCGAATTCTCATTGTTTTGTGTGGCGCATATATATTGGCGCTCTCTTGTACCAATATTTATGTGTTCAAATAAAATAAAATAAAATAAAATGGTGCTTGAGTGATCTACGTAGTCTAAATCTTCTTATGGCTTGAGTTATAACTGACTTCTAACGAAACTCATTTTTCTGTCAATAACTCCTACTCAGGTTATTTCATTCGATAAAACATGTATTATTCTGTATAATGCCTTGTCTTTTAAATCAGTTCATTTGTAGGCTTTAGTTAGTAATACGATATTGTAAGTAGTTATCACGGCCACATCGTATTATCGTATTTCATCTCAGTCACCTAGTCAACAACGCAGAACTTCGTACGTACGTACATCGGTTCAAGTTGCCGTACCACATTAGCACAGAGATACAATTGTCGACTCAAATCCCATAGTGGAAGAGGTAACAAGAGTATAAGCAGTAATCGGAAACATTACGGTTTGAAGATGTTATTTAAGGAGTATAATCCAGTGAAATAAATTTGAAAAGACAAAAACATTCTATTTATTTTAACAACCGTTTTTTTAAATCATTAAACGCGAAACCACATTTCCGTCAAACTTAAGATGTAGTAACTTGGTGTACTTATGTCTTGAAACAAGTCGTATAAATGTTATTTATTTATTTAAAAACATAAACATTGGTACGATGAGGCACCAAATAGATATGCGCCATATGAGTCATCCGATTTGTGTGAGGGCTGTGATACTGCCCGGGTGCCCAAACCGAAGTAGGTGTTTTTCTTAGGGGGCCACACCCCGAGCCTTCGACCTAAAGATCTGATTCACAAGGCAGTAGAGCGACGTCAGGAGGTGCAGTTCCATGGTGGCCGGTGACCAACGATCGGTTAATACAACATTTGTTTTTTCACGATCCTGGATCCCATGTGCACCATTGGTTTGGAATAAGGGTTTTTCAAATCCCCTTGGTGGACTCTGTGTCCACCAACCCGGTTAAAGCACCGGACATTCGTTTTTCGTCCTCTCAATTTCGTAAGCAACACCCTCGCCGCGAGAAGGCAGTGAGTAGGACTTCCCTGGTAGTGGTTGTATACACGTGGCCATGTGAGAGCATTTCGAGAGAGCTGAATCTCCCCACTCTCAGCCGTACCAGGGCATTTGGGAGCAAAGTGAGAACCACTCCTGGGGTGAGAGTATGTGTAAATGACCAGGTAACTAGATTGGATAAGCAATTAGGCGCATAGTTAAACAAGTTCCAACTCAAAATGTAAAATTAGGAGGTACTATCAAGATCACGGAAACCAAAATATATGTACGTTTCAGACATGTAACTCAGTGGTTGAAAATGGGATATTTAAATCAGCCAGCAACAAATCAACTGTATTTTAATCACTCTTGCTGTACATCAGTGTACTGACCGACGATATTAACTCTTTCAATGAACAGGTAAATGGTAACAACTACACATAGTTTTTAAGTTTGTACTTGTTATATCCTGATGAGAATAATGAATGGTAACTTTTGCGATCCATCTATGGATAAATACTATACGTATATTTTTATTGTATTATTTTTAAGCTAAACGATGCATATTCATGTTCCTCTTATTATAAGCTTTATTTGTACTTACAAAACTATTATTATACGATTTACCATTCTTGAGTTATACCCAGTCTATCAATTACTATCTCCCACATTCACAACTACTTTTGGTTAAATCTTGTACAAATGTTATTTTCTATTTCATGATACGATGTGGTCTGTCTGATTAGTATATAAACCCAGTATATTTGAAATAAACAATTCATATCGCAGAGGCTGAGATTGGTGTTCTAAACTTAACAGGTTGGGCTAGGCAGGAAGCAAGACCGATAAGGACTCTAGACTGCTCGTACGGGTTTTATGCGTCATTGGTCCTATCGATAATTCATTGCTCTCTAATTGGTGGTAGCATTACGTTGTACATTTATAGGGACACAAACCCACAAGTTATAACAGTACTCATATGTTTACGCAAAATACCAGCTTACCTATTACAAGAATAGCACTATAGCCACGAAACTAAGAACGACAGTTTTGGAATACCTACTTATCCGTGACGTCAACGGCTAATTGACTGATGTTATTTCGAAAGACAAAAGAAAAATTAGAAGTACTAAAACCTGTGATTTTATTGCTAAGAAGTTTTGAATTATCATCGTAATTAATGAAAATGTGCTTTATGTTAGAGGTTATCAATTCACTTGATATTCACTAACCATTCAGGTACTCATTGATGTTAAATGGTTGTGTCCTAAGTAATTTTGCCTGACTGATTGTCTTACACTTCACCTAGACGAAAGTGTTTCATTTCACTAACTTTGATAACCTGAATATCTTATTCCTCCGAGTATCGTTTGATTTAGAAATTAACAACAGTTACGAAAAATTAGTTGAATTAGTCTCGACTTGTTTCAGCACCATTTGACCAGCATTGTACATTGTGTTTGTAATAGCTGAAATCACGATTGTAATACCATTATATATTATTCAGCATTGCTTTTTCAATGCACACATCGACAAAACCGAAATAAGAAACTGTTTAATTAAATACGAAATTAATGTTCGCGTCCGAAATACAAAGTCGATATACCCTCACAGATTTAATGGTTTACTCATATATGTGCACTTTAAAATATAAACATGAGCCTACCAAATGTGGACAATCCAGTGACACTAGTCGTATATTTTTTCTTGCCTCTGGAAGTTTTAAATACTGCTATTTGTTGTTTTACTGGCTTTTTAGGTCCTCCCTTTCCACCCCTAACTTGACGTCCTTTAGGCGTTGCCTCAGTTTGGTTTGAATCCACATCATCTTTAAATTAAATGTACGACAAAAATTGAGAACGTACCAGTATTAAGTCGTTCAAACTCTTCAGGTAAATTTTTCTCTAACCATGCTCGACATTTTTCAGGAAATGGTGAAAATTCACAATACTCCAGAGGCATAGTGCATTCTGTATGAAAGTATTTCGTGACCAAAAACACTAACCACCACAATACTTAATTGTTAAAGGATATTCAACATCAGGGTCCTGCCTCGCTCGCGGCATGTACTCATAGTTCTCAGTCATTACAGTTCCTGTTAAAATAAAATTATGAACTAATACAATAAAAAATACGAAATTAACGTATGGTATTAGTGCTTTTGATTTAGACGTTGTAAAAATTCGATTGATTGCCAGTCAAAAACGTAATTATCACTTTGAATTTTGAGCTAACTCCTGACGGAAAGAAACGTTCACCATAACTCTTCAAGAATTGCTTATGAATACTTAAAACTCCCATGTATTTGATTCGCAAGCACCAGTACATTAGTTTAAACATGCCAAACCTGTTTCGATTCGAACCACTGGATCTAGGTAGACAGATAAAGGATGGAACTCGTAAGAAAAACCTTCCTCTGGGATTTGGTAACAGAATTATTTAGCCAACACATAAACAACCAGGCCTACATCTTGCCTGGTTTACCTGAGTTTAAATTTAGTGGTAAGTTTATCTTAATGTTATAATTTAAATGTATTAGTCAAGCTAATGTCACATTGATTATTACGTACATAGATGTATTTTGCACTTATGAGCTCTAAAAGCTTGAAGATTATCAGGTTTATTGGTACTCCTCAACAAACTAATAATACGCCACCACCTGGAAATAACTAGTCATTCTTCACTGATATTTTTACTGGTTCATCCTCACACGTACCACTGATATTCCACATTAAAGTGAGCTCCTAAAACTGTTTCGGATGTTGAGTATATGAACCATTAAGCCAAATGAAAAATAAATTGTATTATAAGAGGCGATACTAGCTTATCGGAGAACCAATCATATTTAAAATAGAAGGACTCAGATCTTGGAGTGAAATTCATGCAACTATATGACAGAATAAAATGTTAGCATTACAGATCGTTAATTCGTGGCAAAAGCCGTAATTTTAATTTCTAACGTTTATTGTAAATCCTAATTTCTCTCAATAATTTACGGTCTTCATTCTACCCTAGTAAGTTGGTCAACACCCCCAAAATTAGTTACGCGTCACTCGAAGGTCGTCCATAAAATATGGTCTCACGCGAAAACGTGCTTAAATATGATATTACATGGTAAAATGTAGGTGAGGATCTAGGTTTTCTTCTAATACAGGCCAGCCAAACACCTAATAGCTTTACAAACTAGTCCCATGTCTTTACTTTCCCACTCAGGAGTCAACAGAATTTGTATCTTTACTACTAGTGTCTTAATGAAAACGATGGGCACAAACTTCATTTTAGCTGAGTAAAAATGCCTAGTAACAGCTAGTTGTGTTCCCTCTGATGCATGTCCACCTGCTGAAACTCATTTAACTAAAGCGCTTCTTACTCTTTGAGTTTTGCTTTATCCGAACGCATACAACTGTTGTAATATTGGCTAGACTTGGAGACTTGGGGGATATCGTTTAAGCCCGAAAACTCTGTATAGAGAGGTTATATAGACCATCACAACACATCTATTGGGTACACTTTACGTAATACACTCAAGAAACTTCAGAGAAATTTAGGGGACAAGCATACCATGTTAAGTTATATAACTTTGGGTTAGATTATGCAGTTTATGTCTAATTCACTTTAAGATGTCAACTTGCTGGTTCACATTAAATTGTTTTGAATATTTAAATGGTGAGGCGTCTTGATTCAGAGTCAGCATAAAACCAACCTTGAAATAGACACGCACACCAAAGACTTACAACCAAGCAGCAACACAACAGGCGAACACCGCGCCCGGACTAGGACGTAACTTCAAACCATAAGCTTTACATTAGAAAGTTAGCTAACAGCTTGTTCTTAGGGAACTGCTCCTAATTCCTATTTATGATGAAAACTTGGATTGAAATGATGATTTCTCGGTCATGTATTTGAAGGACTTGTAGTTTTTTACAGATTGATCCTGTAAAAGGTGGAGTTACCCAAGGTACAATCCTTGTCTTAAGCTGTTCCCCGTATTCTGACTATTTTATTCGTTGAGCTTAGTACAGATAGCCATAATGGCTTGTGAATATCCTATCGTTAACCCTGAATACAGAGTCCAAATGGTTCAAATGGTTGTGGACGGAATAGAAGAAGCATTCCCTAAACAGGCTCTCGTGTCTAGTAGCAGGGGATCACTAAAACCTCCAGGCAGGAACCTAGGTATATTAACGATAAAAGGGGAAACAGAAGTTGGTAAATTATTGTATGATAATATCCTTAGACCTCAAGAATGGATCAAATTGCCTTTTAAAGGACTCCTGGGAAGTCGCTTGGACTAGCTCGCTCGGCAGCGAATTCCAGCATTTGACAACTCTTAAGGAGTAGAAGTTGTGTCCACAGTCCGTTCTGCCTTGTTGTGTCCCCAATTTCTGGGTGTTACCTCTTAGCTTAGTACTGGGACTAAGCTTAAGTATGTGTTTAAGAAGACGTCCAGAAGTGTTAAGGATACTGTAAGCCTTCAGATGATTACCTTTATGACGCCTATACTCTAATGGGTAAAGGTCTAGTGAATGGAGGCGCTCTTCATAAGGTTTGAACTTGAGTCCTTGAACTGACTTCGTGGCTCACCGTTGGATACGCTCCAGAGTGTCCTTATCCTTTTGGAGTGAGGGAGGAAATACTACGTGGACTACTTTACACTTGAAGTGTTAAAGGTAATTCCGTTATCGTCTGCCCAACTTTGAATTCGAGTCAGATCCTCCTGAAGTGCTCGTATATCGTCTTGGTTGCGTATCTCTCTCCAACGTTTCACGTCATCTGCAAAAAGTAATAAGTCTGACGTTACTTGTTGAGGAAGATCACTTATATAGATCAAGGAGAGTAGGGGTCCTAGTACTGAGCCCCAGGGGACTCTTTCGTGCCTATAGGTAACCCTCGTGCTATTGACAGAAGAAACCAGACAAGTAGTGAATAGGTCTTTATTTCGATCTTTGCTCAGTCACAGTGGAGCGTGGGATTATCTGTTCAGACAAACAAAGGCTCTCAACATTCAATATAAGATAATAGGGAATATAACGCTTATAAAAAATAAGGAAGTGAATGAATACTTGAGCAATACCGTTTTGGCATATGCTTGGTTGTTTGGGGTCAATTCTTAACCAACCAACCTAAGCTGTTACATTAGCTTCCCCCTAGAATCGACTTCCGTAGGAACGTCGGTTCGATTAACCTATCTATCGAAAACACCTTAGTTCTATTTCTCATCCCAAGGGAAAATTATCAACTCGCTCACTATTTGACTTATAATCAGTGACGACTAACGCTGTCAGCTGTCAACGATAGTCCATGGATGTCTCTTCATTTACTAGCTTGTCATCTAAGCTGTTACAACTCCACTAGGACATTCCATAGCCGGAGATAAAGTGAAGTTAACCCTAACCTTAAATTGTCGATTTTTCAAATATGAAGTGAGCCAATCAATTAGAGGTGGTCAAATACCCAATCTCTTGAGCTTATTGATAAGACATATATGGTTGGCCCTATCAAAAGCTTTTGAGAAATCAAGGTAAATGATATCAACCTTCCACTTGCGATCAAGGATGCTTGTTCATCTGTCCACCCAGTCAGCAGGTTGGTTATACAAGAGTCACCCCTCCCGAAACCATGCTGTTGGGGTGAAAAGAAATTTAAGGACTGTAAATAGTCATTTATACCATCGCATATCAGGGACTCCATGATTTTTGAAGGTATAGAGAGAAGAGTCACCCGTCGGTAACTTGAAGGTCTGCTGCGTCGACCTCCTTTGAAAATTGGTGTGATGTGAGCCAGCTTCCAATTTTACGGTAGTTTGCCTCGGCTTATGGAGTGTGGGAACATTACGCTAAGTAGCGTTGCCAGGATTGAAGCTGCTTCCCTCAGTATAGCAGAATGAACCACATCTGGGCCGGGAGAAATGTCTTTTCTTAGGTGCTGCAGTTACCGGAACACCAAGTCAGCGCCCAGGTTTACTACGGAAAGTCCTGTACAGTTTCAGATGAAGCTGTCCTCAGTATAGTTAATAATAATATATATATATTTCTGCATGCGCAGGTACACGCCATTTTTACAGGCATGATCTACAAATTACAACACTTGTTGGTTCACAAAATGCTTCGCAACTTATTAAGTTTATAGTTGTTATAAAGTAGACCCGTAGGGCGCTTGCCGTAAACCGTGACCTTGAAGAGACACGTACTTCAAGTTTGTTCCAGACGTCAGAAGTTTCATAGCTGTGCCCTCAGAGCAAATTTCTGAAGAAGAAAAAAAGAGAAATGTCCGAGAGTATTGTTCAGCCAAAAGGTTAGCGGCGTCGCCGTCGTTATTAGTCGGGCCGTTAGGACCTAGCAGTTGCGAAACTCCAGTTTTGGCTTGACAAAGGAAGGCTGCATAACGGAATAGGCTTTTCAGATTAGAGACAAATTTATCCATAATCTTTGTCTGGTACTGAAGCCTGTCTTCTCCTATAGCCTTCGTGAATATGTTCCTTCTATGTTTGTATTTCTTGTACGCTCCATTGTTGTCAGTTCGTTTGTATTCTGCCCAACAGTGCCTTTTGCGGCTTCGCAGGCTTAGCAGCCAACTCAATGAATATCACTTGAAACGTAAGTTCGTTCAATTTCAGAGTTATACAAGGCTAACGAGGATTCGTTTGACTGGACGGATATATGACTCTATACTGCCCGTGTCAAAAAAGAGTCGTGGAATGATAACAGGGAGGTATATTATCGCTTCAGATTATGGAAATTCCTTCCGAAATCGTGAGTAAAGATAAACGACAATTGGATACACTTGTAGTGGCATTGGACAATAGCCACACAATCCACAAAGCTGTGAACACGAGACTACTCAGAAAATAGATATTCAATATTTAACGCGGAGAAATACCTAACAATGGAGAAGGCGCGAACAATGAATTGAATGGACTGGAGTTGATCGGATGGCATGGCTCGGCCATGCAGGCGTGGTCCATCTGAATGTTACTTATATCTTCTATTCATATTAAATATATTGTTCCTTCTCTAGCCTAACCTTGTTCTACATCATGTATTGGTAATTGATACGATACAGTGAGTTGGTGTAGTCGATGGTGTGACTTCCACGTAAGATCTTATAGATTAGGCAGTTATATCATGACAAATCTACAAATTTAGGATTAGGTCTATTATTAGAGCAGTACTAATATCATAGTAGACCATAATTCTACATTGGTGAGCCCAACTAAAGAAACGCAACCTATTATTGTTAATCCTTATTTCACCTTAACCTTCTCAATCGGTTTTTATTTTTGTAAACCCAGTATTCTAATAGTCCTTTGATTAATGGTCACATATATTATCGTAATGTTATATCTATTAGTTCACATAACTTACTAGCTCAATCGATAATAAAAGTTGATCATCTATATCAACTAATTAGCTTTGATGGTTCGTTAACAAGCTTTAATAGCATTTACATGCTTCAGCGACATAGACTTGTTTAAACATCAAGCTCTAGCAAATATGACCTGTAAATAACGCAAATATACATTGACTAACAATGCAACAAGGACTAAATAGTTATCTGGATCTAATATTCAGTGTTCCTTATCTTAACACCTCATCCTGTTTTAAACTATGCACTATCCTGTAATATCTTTTCTTCCGACCACTGCCTGCCTAATTTCATATTCTCGAGTTCCATTGCCAAACAACAAGGATGACACTTCTCCAAAAAATACGGTGAGTTCCAGCTATAAGTTTTCTGCAATCATAAGTTCATTTTAGATGGCTCATTCAATGGCACACACAATTATCTGGATTCATTCAGTTGTTCTGATCAGAGCGAGTCCCAAAAACCTCAACAGCATCAAGCACCCTGGAAGTGATTGCCATACTGCATGTTTTATTCTGGATACTTTTGGATCATTACTACTCCTCACGAATGGCGTTATATATGTCGTCCACTGAATAATCTAATTTTCAAAAAAACCCAGGCGAGTTCAACTATTTTACTTAATGATTTTTTTACTTAACATGTATATGTTTTCCGGTTCCTTTTGCTATATATTTGTAAGTGTCCCTAGGCTAAATGCAGTAACTTCTTATGGAATGTTTATAACGCATCATATTCCTGCCTGAAGTTTCACAAGCAGTCTAAACTTTAAAATTATTTTCTGGTCATGTTCATTATTTTTAAATCGTCATATACGTCAACAACCTGCATGTTAACCTGGCCCATACATACGTTACACTATATCTCCATGTCTTCTAAATTTAGAAATCATCTGGATCGCCTTTAACATTTATCAATAAACCCATCATAGTCGTTGTTGCTAATCGTATTTGGGTTTATGGATTGGTTTATCATATTAGCAGCCTAAAATGCGAACATAGTTTAGATAATAAGATTAAAAATTTAGGTACTATCAACTGCACTAGTAAAATAACTAAATCCCAGGTAGCTGTTGGCTAAACAAACGTTTAAAATCAAAACTCCGTAGCCTACTAGAATTAACACTAAACGAATATTTCTGAATTGAAATTTATAATTAAATTAGGCGTCTCGGATTCTTTAACGTTATAAATTTCTGATAATTTCGAATCACCTAAAGCAACAATACCTATTTTTCCACTGACTAATCCTCATCAACACTATAACTAGTTAAATAATAGTTTCAGGATATCGTCATAAAGCATTGTCATAACTTGACAATCACGTAATATGACTGATAAAATTAATGAAACTATTAACAAAATCGGTCAACAAATTGACTTATAATTACCATTAAATGGTGTTGTTTTCTTGGTATCTT